CCCCAAAACCCCAAAACCCCTCAACGAAAATCTAATAAAATTTGAAAAGTATTGTTAATTTATGAAATTAAGAATTTATAATCATAATCATGCTTAAAATCTGAAAGCAATTATTGCTTGAATCATTCAAAATCTCATATCTCTTCCATCAAATCTGCTCTTGTCTTCTTTATCTTTGTTTTAAGTTCCTACCGGCTAAAAATCTTTTCCAATCAGCATGTCTTCAAAATCAACAAAAGATATGCTTGCTTCATTTTGCTGGTAAAGCTAATTCAATAACTTATTTTACTTCTAAGTGTTATTTTTGCTGTTCACATCATTTGTAAAGTCAACTAAATCTTAATTTTACTATAACCAATTCTTTTCTAAGCCAAACTGATTATTTGTTTTGTCCTCATATACATCTTAATTTTCTGATTCTTGATTTTAATCATCGAAACTAAAATCAGAGCGTGTTCTTCTTAATTTACTAGCATGCTTTCTCTTAGCATTCTAAGTTGATTATGGTTTTCTGTCAACTATATCGTCTGAAATACCTGATATTTTGACCATATAAGAACTATCTCCTTATGTTTTATCAGTTTGCTAATTCTTCATTTTTTTAGTTGCTTATCTTTTCAATTAACCTATCTTTAACGCTTTCTATGAATCAACCTTTTTAGGATCTCTTTTTTTTCCCCGACTTTTAATCAGAATATTCTCATGATTTTACTCATTTTTCATCTATTCCATGTGATCTCTTAAAAGAAATGAAAGGTTTTATTCTGAATTTATTTTCTTCTCTTCTTTCGATACAAACCTTACAATCTCATCTAATTGGTCATCATCGTTCATTGGGTACACTTTCTACATTTAAGATTACTCTCTGCTTGAATCATAAGGATCTATGAGTGGATTTTGACTGAAGAGATTGGAATTAGATTTGAAATTCTAATCATTATCATCTTTTTCAGAATGAACAAATTTCCTATAAGATTCTAAGCATTACGAATCATCATTCATAAGTGGATTTAGTGTATTTGTGTTGAATTTTCTATCATTATCTTAACTTGTACTAATTATTTCCTCTCTTTCATCATGATAAACTGAAATTTGTTTACTCTAAGCAGTTGTTAGTTTCTCCAGGTTTCTCCTATTTAGAGGAATTTACTTATATTTATCCTTTTCCAGCTCTAATTATATAAAGTCCTTCTAGTCATTGAAAGAGGCATCTACATCAATTTCTTTTGGATTTTTAACGAGCTTCATTATTCTTTCACTGTCTTGATCATCATTCTTATTTTCTTATGTATTTTCATTAAAGAACTCTAGGACCTTTTTGAAAGATTTGTTTTTGTAAGCTCTCATTTTCCTGATTTTTATTTACTCGCCTGCCTCAATCAACTTTTTTAACCCAATACTTTCTTGAACTTTTTCCAAATTTAAATGAATTTTAAATCTTTCAAGTATCTACTGATTCAGTACAATATCACCTTTCTCATAGGCCTGTTTCAATGATGTAAGTGCTAAATCATATTAATATATATAAATAGAGTATTATACCATTCATGTATTCTTCTCTTAGTATTTCATTTTCTTCTTTCATTATTGCATCCTGTTGGTGGAGCACTAATTTTCTCTTATTTCCACATAATATGAAATTAAGGTATACCCAAGCCAACTTCTTAATGATGTGTTCTCTCAATTCAATGAAAAAATAGTAAACCCAAAATAAGAAGAATGTCATATTGAAAATTACGATCACAAAGAAGAAAAATATCTTCGTTTCATCGGAGAGGCCTGCAACTATATATTTGTTACTTGATTAAGCAAATTACATTATGTTGAGTTCGAGGAAGAAGAGCTTGATAATGAATTTACTATAAAGAATATTCCAATATATATCGTTATATTAGAAGCATACAAGGAAAGTACCTCTAAAATGTTGAGAGCTTCAGTCTAATATGGTTGTAATTTCATCTATGTTGTTATTCCAAATATTAGCAAAAGCATCACAATCATTGCTTGAACTAGGACACCAAATGAAACAAAGAACACCGAGATAAATATTAATAAAGTTTTTCTGTACATTACTATACTTTCCCAATAATAAAATCTCTTTTTATAGCCTCTAAAAAGAAATCCATATTTCGCTTTAGTCTCTAAAGAATCAAGTTTATGTCTTTCATGATACATTAGTTGACTAGCAAATAATGGTATACCAAGACCCCATACTATCATAGCTGGCATCGCAACACCATAGGACCAGAAGTAATGAGGACCCTGAAAACACAAGACTTCCAAATCTGTTTTCATTCTATCTTCGCCATCCACATCAATACAGTTGAAAGCGTCCAACATTTGTTGAACTATATTTGAATATACAAAGAAAAGCAAAATCACTATTGAAGAAATAGCTCTTGATTTCAATAGTTATGGATCTCTCTTTTTGCATGATATAATCGACCAAACAAAGTAGCAGATTATAAACAGAAGAATAGGCATCAAGGCATAAATCATTATTTTAATATATACTACTCTTTCGAATCCAACCATTATTGTTCCTTTTGTATTACTAGTTTCTTTCTAATATTACTAAGGCTAGTCTCCCATTAAAAAGCAGTCGATTGATATAATCTACTGAGAAGCTTAAGATACTGGTTTAGTAAAACTATAGAATTGAGTAATTTAATCAGGCCATTAGAAGTTAAATGATGATGAAATCAAAAGCAGTTGCAAATGATTCATTAGAATTTTTGTATAAATTGACAGAACATTTTTTTTGGCGGTAGCACCTTGTAAAGTAGATCTTATTAGCAAAACTAATAATAGTGTAACCCCTATCAATGTTGCTAGCAATCTAAAATAGTTAAGAATTTTTTCTGGGCACAATGAGCATTCATAATCGCCAGTTCTACTATATCCTTCCCAACAATCTGCGCATAAGATGCCTTAATATCCTTTATCGCAAGAACCTCTAGGATCTCGAGAAATTAGAGTTAAACCCCTATATAATTATCAATTTTAGGAATATCACTCACAGGCAAGATTAAGGTCTAAGACACTTAATAAAAACATCAGTTTTATTATTTTTTCTCCAATATTCAGGTAATGGACCGATATCAGCACCTCCTAGGCATATAGCTTTGTCAGTTGGGCATGATAAGCACTATCCTGGAGAAGATTATTTCACCAATACATATTCTGTTTTGTTAGAGCATTATGAGCACCTAAAGAAGTATTATAGTTATCAAATAATTACATTCCAGAATCAGTAAATTGCTCACCTATCTCACATTCTCTTAGATTGATCTCAAGATTGAAATTAATATCAGTCTGTTCTATGTTTTATAAAGATTTTAGATATTCTTTATTCGAAGGCTTAGACTTGTCAATTCCATCAGAAGTAAATGAAATCTTATAGCTCTAACCAGGAGTAGCTACAAATATTATGTCTTTTACTTTAAAGGTTCCATTTACTGAGAGAAATTACGACTGGCCTTGAATGACTGGGGAATATTTTAGAGCATCCTAATTATTTTGTGTGAAAGTGCTATCAACTCTGACTGTGAGCTTGCTTGAACTATCTGTTTTAACTATTTACCCGTATTTGTCAACTAATGCAAGATTAAAACTGGGAATGGTTTGCCCACTTCTCACTTGACTAATTTCACTTTAAGTTTAAACTGTTGTAGATTATAAGATTCTTGATGTCGAAATTCCTTGTTTACTTAGTTCTTAGTCTGTAATTTGAGATATTTTCTGAGCAAAACAGCCAATATTATCTCCATAGATTTGAGCAGAATTGTTATTAAACACAATATCATTGAAATTGAAAACAGGCTCTATATCTTCCCAGAAAATTGAGCCTCCAGATATTCCTACTTTATTATACTCAAATCTAGTCTTGTTATTAATTTTCAATTCACATGTATTGGAGCTTGAAATATCACAAGAAAAGTATATAGCTCCACCATATGTTGGAGAATAGTTATTCTTGAATAAACAATTTTCTATCGACATTAATTCTACATTATTAATTGAAAGAGCACCTCCTTCATAAAGAGTTGATTTACAATTTTAGAGAGTAGAATTTTGAATCAAGTATTGATATTTTTTTCTACTATTTCTTGTCTGAATAAGGCTTATACATCCACCAAGTTCTGATCTTAAGTTTTAGATTAATGAACTCTTCAGTTTGAATCCGTAGCAATCAAGACATCCTATAGCTCCACCACTGTAAACAACCTAATCACTAATAGTCTTTTCTGTTAAAATGTTAAAGAGTTAAAATATTACTTTAAATGGTAATTTTATCTAGTTCAACAGCGATAGTCTCAAAATATAGAGAATTTTTAGAATATTAACTTTCAAAAGTAGTTTATGAAATATTGACTAAACCTGCATTAGAAGTATATATATCATCTCCCCAATCAATTGCATAATTATCCTTAAATTCTGTCTCATCATCTATACTTAATATCTCATATCCTGTTCCGTAAATGGCTCCTCCATACATTCTTGCAAAGTTGTTGTAGAATTTGCATTTAGAAATAAAAACATAAGAATCTATATAAAACACAGTCAAATGAATCTTAATTATCTTACCTCCAGAAATATAGATAGCTCCTCCACTTGCTGATGTTCCTCCATTGAAAATCGTACCACTTATATTAAGATGAACTTTTAGCAAGCATTAAATAAAAGATCCTGATGTTAAATCAGTTTGAACCTATTCAATCTAGGTTTTTCTTTCTAAGAAACCTGTTGAAAGATTATATACTTTCAAGGCTTAGGTAAAAAAAGAGTTTTCTATGATTAATGTTGAAAAACCAACAAATATGTTTTTAGAGGATGAAAAGGCATAATTTTCTTGGAATCTGCAGTTAATTACTTTTAATATCGAGTATTATATTGAGAAGGTGTTTAATGCTGCTATATTATTGCTAATCAAGCTATTTTAAAGAATAAGGTAGTTTGTAGTGCTGGTTCCTAAAGCTTATATTACTGAACTTGAATCATTAGCAAAATTATTAAGGAACTGAGATTCTTTTATTTGGAAATATGAATTAGTTCGAGCTATAATACATCCGCCAGAAGACGCTGCTTCATTATATGACATGATAAGATATACCCCAATGAGAATCCCACCATTATCCAATGTAATAACTCCCCCTTCGTTAGCTATATTTTCTGTGAATTGAGTGTTAGTCAAATTCATTTTGCAGTTATTACACGCTATTACACCTGCTGAGTAGCTTGATATTTGATTAAACTTTGAATCTGTATCAACAAAGGTTGTCCTATCTAAATAAAAAGCTCCTCCATTGAAATTATACACGCATTTAGACATCTCATTTTTACTTGACTTCACTAGATTTACTTATGATATAAAGATGGTATTCATTGCTAAATGTGTCGTATTAGATTTCATAACACTTAAAATATCTTATTTATCAAAATCTTCCCTGCATTATATTAAATTATTAGTCAAGTTAACATAGGATATTGTTGTAGACTAAATAAAAATAAGTGTCCCCTATGCGGTATTCTATCCAACATACGATAAGTAGAAATTATTGTCAACTAAATCAATATTATGCCCATTAACTATATATAATACTCCACCGCCAGATAAATACGCTAAGGTATTTTTAAATGAGCAATTCTTTATGTTTAAACTTACATACTCATTGTCCATAGATATTACACCACCCATACTTGAAGCCCCAACATCATCAAAATATGAGTTTAATATTGAAAAGGAAGTTTTAGATGTTGCTGAAGTAGTAGAAAGGATAATATCAAATGCTCCTCCTCTGTATTTTGTCAATAATTTGTAGGCCATTACATTTAAAAACACAACTTCAGATTAATCTGAAAATGTACCAATGGCTCCCGAGAATGCAAAATTAAGTAAAAATTTTGAATACTAGAAGTTCACTTAGCAGTTTTAGCAATAAATGATACCGCCATTTATAGCAGCATTATACTTGTAATTTGAGTTTTTATCTATTAATTCTATGTTCTACATATTAAATATTGCTCCTTTATTTCCGATAAAATTGCTTAAGAATGTACCATTGTTTTAAACTAGCTTGCAGTATTTCGCATTGCTACAGTCAATTCTAAACAATGATGTAAAGGTGTTATTTAGTTTGACAGTGGTGTAGGAGTTTGATTTGAATACCTCTGAATAATTTGAGAGTATATTTAAAACATCCTAATTAATATCGATGAATGTTATAAGATTATTCTCGAAGTAAAACTCGGCAGTATTAGTAATTTCTGCATACATAATCACAGAACCATATTTAGTTTGATAATCAGTTGCACTATCATTAATTTTGGAGAAATTGAAAAATTTATCAACCAAAGGTACCATAGAAAGATTGAAAAATTTGCTGTTACTTATATTGAAATAATTTACCGATCCAATATAAAAAAAGCCACCGTCATAAGCTGAACCTTTACCTTAATTTAAACCAGCTACTCCGGATTTTTAAAAGGTGCAATTATCAAAGTCAACAGTACAGTTGTAGCAAGTTAGGGCCATTAATCCACCTCCGAAATATGCTCCAGTTTCAGAAAACTCTGAGTTCTTAATTCCAATATATGAGACAGTTCTGTCAGCAAAATATTGAGAATAGTAGATTATGGAACCAGAATCAGTCGAATAAACTTATTGCACATTGGCATTATCCATGAGTATCGTAGCATTATTTGAAGAAACATATATGAAACCTCCTAACGATGCTAATCCTTAATTAATCCTACTTTAAGTGAAATTCATTGTACATTAATCACAGAAAAATGCTCCACCTTCAACTGCAGTGAAATCTGTAGTAAGTTAGTAAAGAAGAATAATAATAAATAAATATTGAGTTATTTAACAGAAAAATGGAAAACTTAAGTCTTACATTAAAAAGTAGAATTTATATCCTCAAAATATGTGTTTTAACCCAAGTGAAAAATACTTCCAGATGCATTATTACCAGCCAAACCTGCATAGAAGAAATTTTTGTATGTGTTATTTACTGATTTTATAGAAATAGAAGTTATTGGAAATTTCGGTACCTTTATTATTTCCATGAAAAATCCAGAATATCGTTTCCTCTCAGTGCTTCTCAATGTTTAAACTAGCTCATACAGACTGTTAATTTGTACATTGTGTTCGGTAAAATTAGTATTTTAAAAGTATGCTGTAATTTATTTAAAACTTTTTGCATAGATTATCTATCCCTTTTTATAAGCATCAGTAAATGTAATATTGGAATCTTTAATATTAATATTTAGATCAATTAAAGTAGCAGCATATATAATCCCTCCATAGCCATATTCTTATGCAGAAACATTTGAAAAACTACAATTTTCGATAGCAATGTTGGACATACCGGCTACTAAGTAAATAATACCCCCTCCAGGATACTACGTATCGTTGTTGATACTTTCTTCATTTGATTCAATCCCTGTCGCAACATTACTAATTACACAATCTTTGAATAATACATCAATTTAGTTGTGTCCTCCATTTATATAAATTAAACCACCTTTGTATAGTGCAGAAACTAGAGACATTTTGTAATTTTTAAATTCTAGTTTCACCTCTTAACGATTATTATCATTTCGGTCGTATTCTAGATAAATAAATCCTCCAAAGAATCCCAAGCTTGCTTCTTAAGTGGGGTTAATGACAGAAAAATTATAACAATTTTTGCAATGAATACTTCCACCTAAAACTGATGCAGAATAATTATAACTTGAGTTACTATCAATTAATGTTGAATTTTATGATAATACCGTTAAAACTGATGCTCTGTAAGCAAGTGAACAACCTATAAAACTATTATTTTCAGATATCAATGATGCTTTTGTTGTAGATATTAATACAATCAATGTTCCTGATTCCACTTCTGCATAAGTTTCGATTATATCCAAAATATCTAATGCTCTCTGTTTAATATTATCTATGCCAGAATTAAAATCCAGTAACTATTAGTAGCATAGATTAAAGGTATTAATAATTTCTAGTTCTATTTCTTGCATTTGTTCAATTAATATTCCTTTTCCGTAATATGCGCCAAGTTGCAAATTTGTAGAATCTCTAATTTAAATTTTCCTTATCATATATTTTGAATTATCACTTTTTCCATGGATTAATCCTCCTAAAAAATTAATTTAATAAGCAATTATTAAAATAATTATACCGCTTTTCACTGCATATACATATGTAGTATTAATATTAAGCAATGATATTGTTGAGTTATTAAGTCCCTACGGCCCAATTTTTATGATGCCCCCACTTCCAGCGCTCACAGTATTTACGAATTCAGAATCTAATAGTGTGAGAATATTTATCAATACCTTTGATGTAAAAGTTTGTAGAAAATTCAGCTTTTTAATAATTATTATCTTATAAGTAAAAAATAGCTCCATCTCCTCCAGTAACATTTAATACAGTGACATTTTAAGCTAATATCATAGAATCATAATTGAATTTATGCTTGTATAAGGTTAAATTGAATAAGGAATTATAAGCTAATGATATTAATGAATTAAAAATATCTTACAATTTTGAGGGACAAGAAATTGATTGAAATACTTGAATTTTGAGTCTTTGAGATTAAATAAGGCTGTATGAAAACTGAAGAGTGCTCTATTATTACAATTTAAACATCTTACATTCTCTATGTAGATGTTCTACAAATCAATAGAATGAATAAATTTCTTAGGACTATAAATAATTAAACTCTAATATTTACTTGTTTTATTCAAAGAAAATGGCTTAAGAGTCTTAAATTTATCCAAAATCTGAGTCCTTAAGAATTAAGGTATTAATCTTTAAGGACTTAATTAAAGAATTTCCATAATCCATATAAATAAGAGGAGGAAGTCCTCCTCCATACTATTATTAATTGTCAATCGCTTAATATATAGCTAAACAAGCATCACTCTAAAGCCCATTTTAATTCATAATTGTCATGTTTTAGATTTAGATTGAACCATAGAAATGTTATAGATACAAAAGCTAAGATAAACCATTTTAAATTAAAGATGATCTAGAAAATCCTATCCAATTATTATCAAAGTAAAGATCTTTCAATAGCAAATGAGAATTATGCTAAATTTTTATAAGTCCAGATAAAAATCCATAATGCTTTGTTGACTAAGGTAATAATGCTTTTTAATAAAGGCCTTCTTCATCGATATCATTCTTAATCAATTTTGAATTAAAAGATTCAATTAGATCATAAGTTGATTCACCATTTTTAACAAAGGTGTTATTTCTTAGAAGAATAACCCTAAGTCCTCTTATATCTAATAATCCTGACTCATAAGAACCGAAATTTTCGTAGAAGTAATTGTGAGAAAAATCAACAGTATTCATTTCAATACTAATTGTTTTAAATGAGTCAAGTAGAATTACACTATTGAATGTTGGAATATATTCATCAAAGTTAAATACTGTTTCTCTTAAAGATTCTTTAAGAGTATCATTGTAAATAAACTAACTATCAGTTCTAATAGATATTTCATCATTGACTTCTATGAGATCTAAATCAAAGAACGAGTCTATCTTACTTGTTGTAATACATTCAAATCTTACTATGGCACCCCCATATTCAGGGCATCCATAATTATGCTCGAAGTAATTATTAGATACTTTGAATCCACTACATTGTTACTTTTATTAAGGAGTAAGCTCATAAATATTCTCGCTAGAAAGCATTCGAATAAATATCCCAACCGTTGAAAAATATCCAGCATTGTTTTTAAATATGTTATTAGTTATTAACTGAGGTTTACCTGAGGCTTCCTTTAAAAATTGCAAGTAAACTAAGCCTTTTACAGCAGTATTGTTGTAAAATTATGAATCCACAAGAATAAATTAATCTGTATGATTAACAACAGATATGAGGTTTTGTAGTTGATTATAGTAGCCAGGATAATTTATTGAAATAAAATCATCAGTGAATTCAGGAGATTTTCCATCATAGTATTGTTTTGAGACCGAGCATGTCTAATAAGGTTGCTAAATGTTTGAGATTTGTATTTTTTCCAAATGAATAGGACCATTAAATTGTATGAGATTTAGTATAACTCCTTTGTATCTGAGAGAAGAATCTTTAATGACCATTATTCCATTTTTATGTAGAGTCCTGTTGAAGTTAAATTAATCGAAAATGGTGTTATAAATCTCAATTTTGAAGCAATTAGTAGAGCAAGTGTATGGGGATGTACCTTTAATAAGTTTCTGTCTTTTGAACACTTCATTTTATAGTTTGTTCATTCTTTTTACATATATCTACTCAGATGTTTCTAAGTATTAAGAATTTGAGAATTCATCTTTGAAATTTCTAATGATTGACCCACAATTTGAAAAATATCTGAAAATAGAATCATGGATATATATCAGGCTTGAAACTTCATTTACTTCAATCAATGAATTGAAATCAAAAAAGAAATTAACAAATTCAGTATTCTAATACGTTAATTAGGCAAATTTACCTTGAGATTTAGAGTCTATGGATTCTGTAATAATGATTTCTTTGATATATCAAATTTGATAAGCGATTCTCCAATCGTGTTAAGACAGTCATCACCACTATAATTGAGTTTATAAGATTATTGACAACATACAGTTTTATAAGGTGGTCATTATTTTTATCCAAGCAGGGACTCAAAGTCATATTTTTCATTACTCCGTTTATATTTTAGCAGCATTATATCTTTTTACCAAGACATCCCGATGAGTCTAAATCATATGGAATAACAGAATCTAAACTATCGAATATGATATTTTCAATTGTAAGCCCTCCACTAACATTTATTTAAAACTGGTCCCTTCTCTTATTATAAACTGTAATTTTCCCATCAACTGTTGTTGCTGGCTTAATAATCAATGTCAAGCCTTGTGACTATTTATCTTCAACTTTTGATTAATAAAAATCTCGTGCATTCCTTAAAAGATAGTGATTTTTACCATAATTTGCACTCTCCTTTAAATAAATTGTAATTAAAGCGTGCTTATAAGGTGCTGCAATTTCATAAGCTCTTTCTATTGCATCTTCCAAATCACCAAACGGTAGTGCTTCGGATCCATCTAGATTTTACACATCAACTGTTATATCATCGTTAGTAACGTAAAGAGTAGTTGTTATATAATTAAGTTCTTTTAGTTTGCAGTAGCCATAGCTTTTTGAATAGGAGAATTTCTCCAGGTAATAATTACGAGGACACGAGGAACAATATTAGTTACTTACACATTCTTCACATGACGAGTTACAAATTTGGCAAGATGATGTCTCAATAAATCCTCTTTTTGAGTATTAAGCAACTCCAAAAAATCCTATTGGGCATTTTGAAAGGCAACCAAGACTCTAATCATAATATCCGTTTATACAAGATTAACAACTTATGCTAGTCAAATCTACAGGATCTATGTCACAACTGGCGCAATCTGGATAGTGTATTGCTGGACCCGATTATAAATTACATTCTTTATCAGTTAAGGTATTTAAATCTTACCTTGGCAAATATTGGCAGTCACAATAATCGGATCACTTATGATAATAGTAGATACTATATCATATTTTTGTGGACAAAGTTTGCAATCCATTAAATAATCACATTCTATGCACTAATCATCAAAACATTTGTAGCATATTGAACCTTAAATTGGTTCTACAAGACCGAAGCCATCTATACAAGAAGAACAAGAGGAGCCTAGTGACACAAATTATCTGAGATCAGAATTCTAATAGCAGCTATCGCAAGTACCTTGATCATCAATCTTAAAGTTATCATAGCAAAGAGTACAAGTGTCTTCATCATCATCTGAACACTACTGACATATTTTGGTATTTTTACATTTTTGGCATTTTCTAAATTTAGAACCATAACTTGCTTAGCTGTCTATTTTATTAACAAAGGGAACAATGGGATCCTAATTTTTCTGTGGACATATTTCACATCCTTATTTTATATTACAAGATTAGCAATGTAGCCCACAATCTATAGAAATTAAGATAGACTAGTATATTACCAGCACATTTAGAAGTAATTGGATCATTTATAAATTAGTGATGAGCTAGATTACAATCAGGAACGCAAAAACTAAATTTTTCTGGAAACACATCAGCTGCAAAGGTATTATTCTAAAGTAAATAGAGTCCGTCCTTGCATCTTTCACATCAAATAAATTCTCGATCATTATTTAATTCCTGAATGCATTAAGCACAGCCATATATAATCTTTTCACATTCTACATAATATTAAAATTTTAAGAGGGAAAAAGTTGATTAATCCTTACGATAGCATAATGAGGCACTAGTGCTATAAAACTCATCATTACTGCCTATTGTATGGGAATAATTTGATGATAATTTTACATGCAGATTAAGCAGAATAGCAATTTATAACAGAATATAGCACTATTAAGCTAGCTATCACATATCTCCACTATTTATTAGAAACTTTAAGAAGAGACTAGTTCGATTTATTCATTTAAAAGTTTACTTATTATTTATTATCAAATCCATTAAATAGGTTAAATATATTAAACATTATCTTGATAAGTCTATAAGATTTAAATTAAATATTCAAGAATGGGGTTTTGGGGTTTTGGGGTTTTGGA